GATTCATCAGTTCAGTTTGTCACTCAGTCACCTCGTCAGTCAGTCAGTAAGTCAGCCAGTCAGTTAGTCAGCTGTTGTGTTTGACTGTTTTTTTCGCACCTTAACATTGGAAATCTCGTATACCATCAATAAAATACGCGTATGTTGCGGATAAAAATTCTTTTGTGGCCTTCTTTCTTTTATTTTTTTTTTCTGTCTCAATTTAATTCTGCCATAAATTGGCAGCTTTTCCTCTCTTTTTCAGTTTTGTCTTTGCTTGAAGAATTACGAAAAAAGAAGGTAAAAATATATGATGAAAAGAAATTGCTGTTGCTACTGAAGCAGTAAACAAATAAGACCTTAATGTATTGTAGTTTAAGCAAATTGTTTACTCTTTTTCTTTCGGATGGATACTATAGATTCTAGAGAAATGACTGTTGATAACAATAAACGTTCTGATTCTTTTTTTTGAAGAAGAAGAAGAAGAAGAAATCCCTCATTACCAATTGACATATGATCCTCTGTTTTTGCTTTTTTTTTTGTGGCTTTTATACATCTAAATACCCTTCAAACATCATTGAACTACAAATTTTTGTTGTATATGCCATTTTACAACCGCCAAATTTATAGGTTTATGCAATTAAATAGTCGTCGTTTTCTGTGAGTCACTCAAAAAATTATGATGACCTAGAATCATGTTGGCTGGTCTCACTGGCAACTTGTTAAGTGTAACTGTATTTGTGTGAAAGGAGATGGGGGACGGAAGAGTGGGGTTTACTGATCAAAAAAATGCTGAATATTGTTGTATTGAAATTTTAGTCGAAAATCATTGATCCAAAATCTCTGATGTTAAGTTGTTTCACGTATGCGAGAAGTCTGTCGAAGTATACGTCTGTAAAAGTTGAGAAGACTATTGCAGATGATGAATTGAACGGTTTTTTTTTTTGTTGTTTAAGACATTTTGTTAAATGAAAGATGAAAAAAAATTTTTTTCTTGCTGAAAGATATTTGAGATTTTTTAGATAATTTACCACTGCTTTTCTTTTTTCTTTTTACTTCTTCATCTTT